ATATATGTGTGTGTGTGTGTGTGTGTGTGTGTGTGTGTGTGTATCTCAAAGAGTTTTGGAATTTTTTAACAATCTCCCCTCCTTGTTATTACACTCACCCCAAATAAATAATATTCTTGATTAAAACTGTTACTCATCTCACATGGTTTATCCTGATTGTTTACTTAGGTGCACAAGAGTGTTAATTCACAATATAGATCTCCTCAAGCTTGTTTTACAAATCTAGAACAGTAATGCATTTTTTAACAGCTTCACTGAGATACATTTCATATACCATATAAATTACACTTTAAAGTAGTTTTTAGTATATTAGTATAGATATTTTAGTGTATTCACTAGCATCACTACAGACAATTTTATTACAATTTTATGACCTTGAGAAGATACAATGTAAATTATCCTCTATCCCTCTATTCCTACTCCCATTCCAGCCATAATCACCACTAATCTATATTCTGTCCCAATAGATTTTCTTATTTTGGACTTTCGTATGAATGGAATAATAGATAATGTGAGCTTTTATAACTGACTTCTTTCACTTATAATGTGCTCAAGTTTTAGTCATATTTTAGCAGGTATTATTAATATTTCACTCATTTCTATGCCTGAATAATACTCCATTTTATAAATATATAATATTTTACTTATCCATTTGTCCATTGATGGATAATTTTTGTAGTTTCTATTTTTTTATTATTCTAAATAATGCCGTTATAAACATCTGGGTGCATATCTTTGTGTACACATTTTCATTTCCTGGGGCATGTACCTAGAAGTAAAATACTGGATCACAATGTAACTGCCAGACTTTTCCAAAACAGATCATTTTACATTTCCACCAGCAGTGTATGGAGAGTTTTGGTTTTTTCCACATTTTCCCCAAAACTTACCATTACCTGTCTTTTATATTTGAGGCATCCTAATGGGTGTGAAGCGGTATCTTGCAGTGTTATTTGCATTTCCCTGGTGTTAAAGATGTCAAGAATCTTTTCATATGTTTATTCACCATGTGTATATCTTAGGCAAAATATCTATTCAGATTCCTTGCCCATTATTAATTGGTTTATTTGCATTTTTATTGTTGAAAAATAATGGGTTTTTTTTACGTATTTCAGATACAAGTCCCTTATCAGATAAATAATTTACAAATATTTTCTCCCATTCTGTGTGTTGTCTTGTCATTTTCTTAATTGTGTTCTTTAAAGCACAAATGTTATCTATTTTATAAAGTACAGTCTTTTTTGCTTCTCATTATTTTGGTGTCACATCTAAGAACACTTTGCAAAATTCA